AGATTATTCTTCACTGGATTGTTCCATTTGCAGTTGCTTGAAAATAAAAAGACATTCCAAAAACATTATTATTATATATGCATATAAAAAGGGAGATTTTTTTTATTCACAGCTCAAATATATATATATTATATCAGGAAACGACCGGGTACCCGGCCGGCTGTTTTTTGAACGTTCCGTCCCGTTGTCTAAAAATCAGCGGGCTGGAACTTTAATATATTCGTTCCTCGTCATTCTGAAATTGAGGACGTTTTTTAGAAAATAATTCTTAATATTTCAAAAAAAATATTTTTTTTTTCTAAAAAACTTTTTTTTATGTCGTCTCTTTCAGAATTATAAAAGAACGAATATATAAAGTCCCGGTCCGGATCCCGGCGAAAACGTATCCTGGTCGTTTCCTGACTTTTAGATGTTGTTTTATGAAGCTAGGATGATTAGTAAAGGAACAGTAAATCTATTAAAAACAATAAATTACACATATTCATTACAGAAAAGTACCATAATAAGACCTTCCTCATTTAATTATTATAAGAATCATGCCTTTTTGAAGCTCTTGATTGGTCCAAACATATTATTAGAAGGGATGAGTTTTCGTTGAATAAGAAATTTACAAGTGGTAACGAGTTTGGTCCGAGTAACGTGTTCCGAGTAACGTGTTTGTCTCCGAGGTAACGTTTGTCTCCGAGTAACGAGTTTTTCTCGGGAGTAACGAGTTTTCCTGAGTAACGAGTAAAAGGTCGTCGATTTCATGCACGAGTCGAGTATTTGAAGACTTTTTTTACTTACTAAATAAAACTCGAGTATTAAAAAACGAGTTTTACTCGTGACCCATCACTATTTATATCTCTAACTTAAGGATTCACTCCGTCCTAGAATCAAGAATAATTTTCACTATTTGACGATTGAAAAAAGTATTCCAGAGCAGTAATTTATTATTTAATTAATTATCATAGACTTTTTATCAAAATTAGCATTAAGAATAATCTACATACATCCCCTCTGAGGTCATATTAAGCTATTTCATACAATAAGAATTTATTAATGCTTCTTTAAGTACATAGCCTTATTATATGCACTCTTTTTTTTAGAGTTAACATACTCATCATGAAGGATAGCATAAAGGCTGTTCTAACAAATTCACTAATAAACATGCTTTATTTCCTTTCGATAACATTTTTTTCTACGTCCGATATTCGGAATGATGATCGATTTATCAACAGATATTAGCAAACCAAATAAAATCCAGTATGAGAAGCTTTTCCTAGATAGATAGATAGATAGATAGATAGATAGATAGATAGATAGATCAGATAGATAGATAGATAGAGAGAAATAGGAGGTGTCCCTTCGAAAGATTCGATATGATTTCATTGATAAAGACCCATGAAGAAGGAGACAATTATTATGTTTAACCTTCTTCTCTTTGAATGACGAATGTTGCCTCTTCAACAGCCCCCACGAGTGAAGGGATACTTAATTGCTAAAGCGTTAAAGTAAAGTAGCGCAACAAGAAAATGTAAACAAAAAAATGATGGACAAACCGTAGTTTATTTTTTAACAAAAGTGCCGCTTATCCATTAACATTTCATTGAAATGTTAATGGATAAGCGGCACCTATTGTTAAAAATAAACGGTTTGTCCAATTTTTTTGCTTTACATTTGTTATTATTTTGAAACAGCTGCTTCATCAAACACCCTCTAGCGCATATTAAAGAACTACGGTTGATCCATCTCCTTTTTGAAAAAAAAGAAGGTTTTGTCCTGGTAGCGTCACTTTACTTTAACGCTTATTAATTGCTCCATACCAATTGCCTTTATTATTATTCCCCTTCTTTCCTTTCGCCCAATCACGTATCAAACCCTTTCCCCCTTACTCATAATCCATCATTATTTTCCATTTCCCTTTAGTCTGTGTCTGTTGTCAAAGCCAAGAAATCGTCAGAGAGCAAAAAGGCCAACAGGAGCGGCGGCAGCGGCAGCAGCAAAGCAGAAAAAATATCCTCACAAGGCCAAAGAAGTCAACGGAGAAGCTCTGGCTCATTGAGACAATAACACTCCTCCTCCTCCTCTCTTACTTGGGACGACGTTTATTTAAAAGAAAACTTTTTGTGTCATTTCTCTTTCTTTTTCATCAAGGAATCGTTTAGTTTTTTTTTGTCAATGTATATGTGAGTGTATGATAATTACACGATTTTGCCTCAATGATGATGACAAATATTTTTCCCTAATGAGGGAGGAGAACGTTTTTTTTTTTTTTTTTGCTTACTATTAATGATATAATACTACTACTACCCATGATATAACACTTCTTACTCCTCCTCTTCCTCCAAAACGATCTTATCATCATCATCATAATATTTCAATTAGAATCCCTTTGTTAAAAAGAATTGAACCCATAGAATTAGTAGCCGATTTATTATTATTATTCTAATATTATTTTTCTTCATCCATTTATTACTTTTTTTGGATTATGAAAGCCAGCCGCCCTCGAGAGCTCTCCACCACCATCATGATGATATTGCTGATTGAATGATTTGTCTGATTATTTGTTTCTGTTTTCTTAAAAATTCCTCAAATAAACTTTTTGATAGAATAATACTTTTGTTATTACTATATATAATATATATATATTATATATATATATATATATATAATATATAATATATGAAGCGGATGGACCTGTTTAGTAACAGCAGGTCTACCTACCACTTTTTAATCTCACACCTCAGCAGGTTCTTGATCTTAAGTACTCTTGCCTGCGGGTATATAACACTGCAGGCAGGAGATCAAAAACACACTCTAACTCAACATCTACAAGAGTAGTCATTTCTCCTCCTCCTTCGCGCTACATATATATATATATCAGAGCTGCTACTACCGAATGTAAATCGGTATTCGATACTACCGACGGTAGATTTCAAATATCGAACCGATATATGATATTCGGTAGAAACTACCGAATACTGTACCGATTGACAATCGGTACGGTATATCTGAAAGTATGAGTTTTGTAGCATTCACATAGAGACATAAAGATATAGAGAGTTTATTCCCTTCAATAGTAGATAAATATCGTTCAACTGTCGCTTTGCCCAAGCGCTCCCTTGAGTGAAGAACTTTAACTTTGAAAATAAATAAACAAATATAACTTAAAGTATTTTAGAGCAGATACATAAATAGACATTCAATATAAGCTTATGCTATGCATTGAATACTAGAGTACCTGAAAGTGTATTAATATCTGACAATAAGAGATAGTAAATTAAAAAATCTATAGCCTTCCATTTCCTACAAATCCTCCACATTAAATTTGGTATACCATCATCAAGAAATCGAAGAAAAAATTCTTTTAGCTTAAAATTGACTTATGGAACACGAAATTTCTGGGAATGACCAAAGGGTCCAAAGCAAACCTGAGCACTTTCAAAGTAATTCACAGAATATACGTATGTTCCTAATATAACTTGTTAATTTATTTAAAAAATGGCCAATAAAATTAACGGTGCGATAATACATTTTTCAGAAGTGTCCACCACCACAATTTTGTTAAGAACTAATGAATCGTTAGGGGGAGTCGGAGAAACGAGCGAACGGGAATCTTAATTTATTAGTATAGATAAAGGTCCCCTTCACTTGAGGGCGTCTTTGGATTATGTTATCTCAAAATGGGGTGTTCAGCGATCTGTTGCAATACGATAAATTATATAGAAGATAAAAAAGGTACATTGAATTCAAGATATACCCATATTGCCTTTTTGATCGCCGGTGTAAAAGCACCGGCAAGCCGGAAGAATAACATGTCAATTTATTTTCGATGAAGTGAAAATAATGAGAGCATATTTATTATAGTTTATTATAGGTATGCTAATAAGAAATAGTTCTAATAGTCGTTTACTTAACGTTTATTTAATATTTCCTATTGGTAAAATGATGAACATTTACTTTTATGAAACGGGAGATGGGATGTAGTCTCAGTGGTCTAAGGCATTAATATGCTCGTACTAACTATCTTGATTTATTGTTCAGTGTTAAATATAATGAAATAGGAGTATAAATGGGTATTTACACAAAAATAATGCAATCATCTTCTACAAGACCACCTCACGCATAGCTTTCATTTAGCTGTTAATACTTGTTTAGTTGAATAAACATAGGCACTTTGAGCAACCGATTGGTACTCAACCTGGCGGCCCAATTCGCATAATTTCCTCTACACGTCCTTAGTCTTATTTCAAGGCCATAGTTACTCTTTTAGGTATCGTGATCTCTCAATTGAAGCAGTATTGGTATATTCATTTACAACTAATCAAAATTATAATATACTTATCATCAGAGCTGTGACTACAGATTGATAATAATCGGTGCTACCGGCAATAGATTCATGCTACCGCTATCGATCATTTTAAGCTTAAGAATAGTACGGATCTACTGAAATACCGATTATCAATCGGTGGTCCCAGCTGTGACTATAAGAGTTTTATAAATCCTTATAAAAATACGATATAGGGTTAAATAATTTTGATCCCGGAGAAGGCTACCTTAGGAGTTTTATTTTTCAGTGATTATTCATTTCTTTAGAGCATCGGCATTGAGAACGAAGGAATTGTTGATTAACACCAAAATACCAATAACTTCAAGTAATAAAACTAATTAGCAACTTCCTAATGGTTTCAAGCGCCTCAAAAATTGACTAATAAAAATACCTATAAGAAAATCAAACGCAAAAATTCAGTTTTATTCTATTAGAAAACAAACTTGTGATTCGTATTTTTTATTTAAAATATGTCTTAGAAAAAGTTGAACGTTTACATTGCGATATAAGAAGAAGATATAATTTAACTAGTAAACGAAATAGAGCAATAATTAATTTTGACATACGTGCTCTTTCAAGTGATATTTTGAAAGTAATGACTACTACTACCTACTAAAGAAATAGATTTGGAGAATGTGTATTAAGCAAATAAGAAACATTATAAACAATTTTCCTCCTTCAGCACACAGCCCGGGTAGCTCAGTCGGTAGAGCGTTTGGCTTTTAACCAGACGGTCCAGGGTTCGAGCCCCTGCTCGGGCGATCATTTTTAATTTTATGACAGGAAAAAGGAGGAATTATAACATCTTTAAAATATATTTCTTGGTTGTGGTATAGTGTCCTGTAAGTCTTTCACAGACAGCAGCTTCCTGAAAATATATTTCTCGGCTGCCGCGTGAATCTTAAGTAATTTTTCATCAGGAAGGGAAATTTCAAGTTGATTAAATTCTAGATTAGACTTAAATGTTTAAACTCTTGGTGAGGTAACTATGAGCTCTTTGGAATATTCACTTTAAGGCCCAAGAGCGTACCAATTACATTAATTGTGTATAAATATTTCAAACCCAACTGCAAAAGTTTAAAGTACGCATCAATATCATTTCAAATATTTTTTGCAACCCGGAGCACTAAAGTTTTTATGCAATTTCGATATATTATATTTGCACTCAAAACTTATCATGATCAGGAACTTATTTATTTTGAGACGTCAAGATATTTGGAACAAAAAAAAAACTATTTCGCTATGTAGGTTATTTTGATCAGCATCAATTATTGGATGTTGAGCGCACGCTTTATTCTTCCTTTTTTTTGCTTCATATTGAAAAGCGAAATCCATTTACTGCAGAGTAGGCATATGGCCACTCACTTTACTGGGCGTCCGATTGAAATTTACACACTCAACACTTTAAACTTTAACATGACTTAGTTCCCCACTATGGGGAAGTACTGGAGCTTTTCTTATATTTTCTATTAAATACAGCCTTGGACATCACATTTTATTCAATGTAGCCACCATTAGCAGCAATGATGGCCTCGATCCTCTTCCTAAAGGTGGAGCATGTCCTCTTAATGTAGTCCGTCGTCATCTTGTTCCACTCCTCGTCCACCGCAGTCTTCAGAGCTTCCACATTCGGGTGGCGGACAGTACAGGCCTTGCTCTCGACTTGCACCCAGAAAGAGTAGTCTAAGGGATTGGCGTCCGGGCTCTGGGGGGGCCACATCTCCTTGGACCAAAACTGCATGTGCTACCTTAGGAACTCCTGCGTGACCTTGGCTGTGTGGGCGGGCGCACCATCTTGTTGTAGGACCACGTTGTTGTAAGGGAACTTCTCCTGGACCCAAGGGAGGAACTTCTCCTGCATCTTGGCGTAGTCGGCTGCATTGAGCCTGTAGCCAGTCTGAAACCAGATGAGTGGCATGGCCTTCCCTTTTGAGGCCACAAACCCCAGAGACATGACACTGGCCGGGTGTTTCGTAGTGGACATGGTCCTGACATCCTCGTCAACCTCGCCGAAGGTGAGGTACCGGTCGTTTCTCCTGCTTGAATGAGAGATTCCTTCAAGTTCAATTTCCTCTTTACAACTTTAAAAGACTCACGGAAAGGAATGACTTCGATCTTATCATTATAGGCATCCTTAAAGTTCTTTTATCACTAATTATTGTTGGGTCGGCGACAAAAATTCTGTTGACGCGAAGAACTTTGAATTTTTGGACGCCTTTGAAGAATGATTTTAGGCCTGCAGTGTCATCTACGATGAACTATATATGAAAGTTGACACTGCAGGCCTAAAATCATTCTTCAAAGGCGTCCAAAAATTCAAAGTTCCTGCAATCGGGCCGTTTCTTTCTCCAGAACAACGAATTTGTAGCGGCGCTACAAATCCTTTCTTGTGCTCCGTTTGTCAAATCGAAAAAAGGCAAGTCTTCAGTCTTAGAGAATGGGAACAGATGTGAGGCTTGTCCGGGTCTTGTGAATAATCTGGACCACATTTTCCAAATGTGTCTAAGGGCCCAGGGCCAAAGAATCATTCGGCATGACGCAATGCAGGGCGTCATAGAAGGAGCCTAAGGAAGAGGAAGTAACCTCCCTAAAAAAATAACATTATAGAAATGGGCAATAAGGTTCGAAAGCCAGACAGGGTTGTTCTTCGCGGCAACAGAATTTTTGTCGTCGACCCAACATAACCAGTGATAAAAAAACCTTTAAGGATGCCTATAATTATAAGATCGAAGTCATCCTTTCCGTGAGTCTTTTAAAGTTGTAAAGAGGAAATTGAACTTGAAGGAATCTCTCATTCCTTCTATTCAGTTAAAAATCAAAAAGGGCTCATATGACGTATATGAAACAGAGAGAGCGATCAGGGTTCGAGCTCTTGCTCGGGCGATTCTTTTTAATTTTATATTAAAGAAGAAGGAGGAAATTCATAAAATTAAAAAGGATCGCCCGAGCAGGGGCTCGAACCCTTGACTGTCTGGTTCGCCCAGGGCGTAAAAGTAGCCAGGATTGCATTTGTTCCCAAGGGTATTCCTAATATCCCTCCCAGAGACCTGAGCAAGATTTGCTGCCCATGTTTGAATGACGTCAGGAGAGATTGCAGTGGAGGATAACTGAGAAGACAGCTTACCACTCACAAGGGCTCTCATCGTTGCTGAGTATTTAAATCGTGCATGGCACATTGACCGTGCACGTTTTTGATGTTTCTATTTTGAATGTGTCCGTTCTCGTTGTAAATGTGAGTGGCCATATGCCTACTCTGCGTAAATGGATTTCGCTGTTTCAATATGAAGCAAAAAAAAAAGGGAAGATAAAGCGTGCGTCAAACCAATAATTGATGCTGATCAAAATAACCAAGGAATACTAGAAGCTACACACATGCAATTTTGTAATAAAGAAAACATAGTTAACTTCATAAGTGGACTTTAATGAACAAATATTAGTAACGGGGATCCTCCAGAGCTAAAGCGGATTCTTAGGAATAATAACATTGGTTACTTGTTGGCTTCCAAGGTAGAATGAGTAAACACCATGATTAACCCTTTAAACGCGGCTCCGTGAATTGTTATCGATTTTCTTCAAATTCGAAAATATAATCATCTTTTAACCTTATTCGAATGCACCCCAAACGAAATTTAGCTGACTAAATTCTAAGTCATGTTTTTGGTATGCTCCCATTTTGGGAACGTTGGCGCTTCTAGTACTTACAATTTTGTACATTTAATATTGTCTTTATTCCTTTATATATATCTTTTCAACATTTTCATCGACAATGGAACTTTTAATTTTGTAATAAATAGGAATACATGCCTTGTGCAAACTTTTAATACACTTGTACATTGATATATAGTATTTTTCTTGATATAAAACACACCTTTCTTGAGTACATGATTACAAAAAAAAATATCTGTCGGTCTTAAACTCTGGGGACTTAGAGTATGTCCTCCAAGAGGCATCGATCACTTGACGTTTGTATGCAGAGTCAAATACCTCCTAAACTGTCGATGGCTACATTTATCGTGTTGGTTGGCCACGAATAACACTTAGATAACTCCCACTACCGACAAATTGAGTGGAAGAATAAAAAGATTCCACCAACATGTTTGAGCATGTATAATTAGTCGCAAATATAGTACACCACTCATTAGGAAAGAAATATACACTCTAATTGTCTTCCGGGTTTGTGTTTTCCGGATTAATAGTCGAAATTCTATGGATATCCATCGGAGCTACACATCATCCCAAATTTTTATAGCAAATCTTACTGGACTTGTTCCTCAAATAATGTTTGCACCTAGTAATCCACGATATGGAAATCATGGAATTAGCACGGTAAGTCTCTTTCTAAGAACTCCGACCAAACTGGAAACAATTTTCTTTTACCGTCGCAAGGGGTAAGATTCAAAAAACTTTATATTTGTCAATTGGGAGTTACATAAAAATTGTCAATGTCTTCAGGTAGTTTAACAAGATGGGAGTCTTGCGGTATTCGTCGTCATTTTCTTCGTAACTAGGTGTATACGCTGCTCACTATCGTTGCAAATACCTAGAATCAAAATCTCGCTTCTTACTGTTGATGTTTTCGATCTCATCTATAGCACAACGAGGAATCAAGGGTGATATTTTAATAGATTCTCTAAATCATTTGAATCATAAAATTAATGAATAAAATATAAAATTAAAACTTACTATTCAACTCTGTCATCCATATAAGAATTAGAACACACATTTGTCTTTTAGTTAACATGTATTTATATGTGACTTAACCAAGGAATACTAGAAGCTAACTGAAAGGTGACGCCTTAACGGGCACTACCTTTATGCTCAAGTAAGGGCCATCAATTATTAGTTCAATTGTAATATTATTTCAAAAAAACGTGGTTTGTAGGTTATTTCAAGTTCTTTATATTCTGTGTTTCAAAAGTGGGTACAAGTTATCTGCTTCTGTTGTAAACAGGGATAGCCCAGGGATATAATAATATGCCAAAGAGGGACTACTCTTCTCAAAAGATCTCTTGGGAAGCTCAAGAGTCACTTGATATCCACAGCTTTCGCCTCAATCATCTGTCAGCCATTAATGCGGACCCTCTTGAACAATGTCACCTCTGTCCTCGATGCCCACGGGCGGAAAGCAGTCTCTGCCATCAGTTACCAACCGCTGGTCCTGGGTGGAGTCACGTAGTCCATCCCTCATATAGATAAATTCACAAAGCTCGACGGTCTGGAATCCTGCAGATCATCTCATCGGGGAACGACTATGGCGGCAGCGGAAAATATACGAAAAGCTCCGTCTCCTCACGCCCCAATCATATTCCTGGCTGTGACTCCCGAGAAGGTATCTGCCTCTCAGAAGCTCAATGGAGTGCTTTCGAAGCCTTTATTCGCGGGATCCCCTCAAGCGATTCGTTATTGATGAGGCCAACTGTGGGTCTCAGTAGGGGACCACGACTTTCACTCGTACTACTACTAGCTTCTCCATAGGTTACGAAGTGATTTTCCCCGAGTCTATTTTATGGCACTAACGGCCACCGCGACGCCCTGCATCCGAAAGACATTCTAAAATGAAGTCTCCAAATGTTCTCTCCAACAGAACCGATTTGGCCTATGAGGTCCAACCAGAGAATCCATCCAAAAACTGCTATGCTGCCCTTCCTGTGGACTGCTACCGTGAAATGGCTATAAGCTGCCTTGCTCCAAGGGTGAAATAATGGACAGGTGTTCATAGGTCGGAGTCTTTAATACAAGAGCTACGAGGAGGAACTTATCC